TGAACACTTGCATGTGAGGGTTGCATCCTTCAACAACACATTTGAACCAGGAATGGAAAACAGATTACCAGTGCTCTCCTTAACAAGTGCACATAATAGCTATAGCCTATCTTTTCATGAGGGAAAGATTGGCCATTAACTGATTAATGTTATTTAACCTAATAATTCTTTAGGCTTGATACAGTATGTCTGGATGATACCTAACTACTTGTGACAGGCAAGAGGTCAAACTAGAAGATGTAACAGTCTCCCTCCCTCCCAGCCTTAATTTTTATGAAGATACAGAAATTCAGGCATACGACCAATTGGGCTTATGATCATAAAAAATGGAGCAGGGCCTCCTGGGAGAAGGGACCAACCATAATGTTTCAAGAAAATTTATATAAATGCCAATATTGTATTTTACAGAGCAAAGTAATTGTACATGATTGTTTTATAGAGAAAATTACGTAAAGAAAGATTTGTAAAAGGACCTGGCCAAATCCAGCAGTGGAATTTAATTTTCTACAATAAGACTCCAGTTACCATACACTCCCTAGGCAATTCTTCTGTAACATCCACAATAACAGAGATAAGTAAAGTCTCTGCAAACAGCATATTTGAGGAACATCTCTTTTTTTTTCCCCATCATGACAAGGTTTCTTAAACAACATTGCATATCTATTATGTCGATGGATTGTTTCCATGCTACTTGTTAGCATCATTCCATTTAATTGTATGCAGTTCTGAAAATCAAAAATTATTTCTTCTTACAGTGGCACAGCATATACCTAATTCTATTTAAAAGCAGAAAAATTACTTTTCTTTTTTCCCAAATGCTCTCGTTTTATTAATATCAAGTAACATTATGAGAAATTTTGTAAAAAAAATAAAATTTGAAAAACAAATTAAAATAGGCTTAATATACTACCTCAGATAAGCTCGGACTCTGCATCCTAGAAACCAGCTCTGGATTTTGACAGCAGCTTTGTACTCTATTTGTCTGACTTCATCTGCAGCTCTGAAAACATAAAAAGTAGTCATACTTGTCAGCACGGTAATTTAGTACCAAAGCTGAAAAATTCTTCTAAATATATCTTACTGTTGCAGTTTGTGATCTTTTTCACCAGGTTTTTTGCTTTTTAATTCTAAATAGTGCACAACAAGATAATCTACATTAGTTGCATATTATGAAGATAACAAAGATAAAGAGTATTGCAACTTGTAGATGATGTAAGGCTTGGGAGAGTGTATTTCTTATTCCCACATGAAACTGAATATCCATGTCAGCATCTCATGGACTTCTTCTGTTGTAGGTGAAATACATGGATAATGCTTTAATGATAATTAGACCTGAATTATAACAAAAATCGTAGCTTTATATAAAATTGTATAGCTACATGAATATTAAATAAATTAACTGTGATCAACATTATCATGATAAGTACAAACTGAATTAATAAGAAGGATATACTCAGGGTGAAATCTAGTTCAAATACATTGTTTAATGACAGATACAAAATATTTTATTTGTTTATTATCTGAACAGTGATGGCATGAATAATGGTGACAGATACACTCCTTGTCTGTAGATGTTTTTAATTAATATGAAATGATCTTACAGGGTGAAAGTAGAGGATTTAGACCTTTTAGCTAGTTTCTTAGGAAGGAATTTAAAGAGAAGAAATATGAAAAAGAAGAAGAGGTGACTGAAGGACAGTGAAATACAAATGTAAGTTAAAACTAATAAGAGTTAGAACAAAGAAGCCATAGTAAAGAAATTAGATGTGGAAATTTCCAAACTTTAAAAGGCCTGGAATGTCAGGATATGAAATCTTAGTGTGGCTTAAAAGGAAGTTGGGAATTGGGAAAAAATGGTGTTAGTAATTTGGGTAGATTCCAAAAGGATGACCATGGGTATCCTTTACATGGAATTATAATAGTCAATGCAACGGTTGATTGAGCCTTGACAGGACTTTTCACAATGGGAATTCAAAGACAGGGATTTTGGAGATAATGTAGTAATGAAACTGGCAGCGTATTGGCATGTGTTGCAGACAGGCAAGGAGGGAACAAAAGGAAACAAAAGAATTAGATAATATGCTGGGGTTGTAGCATTGATCAATACAGATGCTAGAGGAACTAATGAAAAGGGGACGTTACAGAGAAAGATGAAGAATTTGGTTTTAAGTCACATGAGAAGAAAGGTTATCTCGAAAGAAGTACTGGTGAGGCAGCTGAAGATGCAAGATAGATGTAGGTGGAGAATTAATGACTTCAAGGAGATTTTCAAGAACTATTATCTGTCAAAGCTTTGTATCAAATGACACAGTACAAGGAAAAGGCATGTGCACAACTGGGAAAGATGCACAAGTAAAAGGACCTCATCAGAAAACCAGAAAATAATGCCAAGAGATGACAGTCCTTGCTCACTTGCCTTCTTTCTGTGACTGGTCTATTAGGAGAACAGTGTTTGTGACAAAGCTAAAAGTCATGTAAGGAAAACCATGAATCTAAAAGACATTAAGGAAATACATAAATCTCGAAGAGACTTTTCAACATTGAGGAGTAGAACCCGTCTATGAGATCACCTCTAGCTTTTATTTACTTTTTTTGTTTACCTGTTTCAAAATGTCAGTAACTGCCAAGTCTTTCAACTTCAAATTATATTTTAATTTTCATGAATTTTTTGCATTTTTACTAGGAACATATTTACCACATAGTTTAATCTGTTGCACCTGCCACAAAAGAATAATTGGGTTACTGTTAGTTTTCTTAACTGGTTGGTATTAGTTATCTCTCCTAACAAAGTGTTGTGTCAACATTAATTGCTTTGGTAAACACCAACAAGATTAATTTTTATCTGATAAATTAGGATTATCCTCATTATATTTCTTGAAAAACAAAACACAGATTTACTACCGGAGATCAAGAAGCATCAGTTCCATTAGTTTTATATCATCTGGTGCAGCATGTGCTCTCAAATCACATTAAGTGGACACAAATTTTCATTGTCATCTGACAATTTCATCAGACCTGTCTGGTACCTGGAAACTGTGGCAAACAGACTTTTTTACCTAAGACTACAAACTAAATTGATATCAAAGTTGGCGCTTATGCTAGAGAGCGTCTTTGTTCCTTTCTTGTGCAGCTTCCTAGAATTCATAGGAAGCAGACACCTCCAGAACACTTTTACCAAGAGGTAAACAATTTTGATTAAAAGGGTATGAGCAATTTGGTCCTGGACAGGCAGCCACAACTACAGTCTGGAAATGAAGGGGATGTGGGACTGGCCATGTCAGAGGTGACACTGTGCCATCATTGGGCAAGTCCTTCCCTAGAAAGGTGCTTTCCCTAAAAAGAGACAGTCAGTTCAGGAGACCTCATACCTCTGACTTAAACAGAGTTCTGTATAAAGCATGACAGGAATGTAATTAAAATCAGAGAAACATTGTTAAGATCAGGTAAACCTGTCTAACCACAAGTCATCAACTTGCCTTATTTTTAATGGAACAGGTGTAGAGTCCCAAAATACACAAAATGCATTTTGAAAGATAAAGGAAGTTTTCTAATTTGGGGATTTACTTCAAGGCACTTCAATTTCTACATTTCTCCTGCAGCAGTAATTTCCAGTAAGAGTACTTCGTTTTCGCCAGGGTTGCTTTAAGTCAAGCTGCTCTGGAAGGTATGTGTGTTCTAGTTGTTCTACAGAATTCTACTTTTAAGTCTTGATAGATAGGTGAAGAAAGATTTTTCTTTTGTCCTAAAATGTGTTTGACACATATGGAACTAAATCCCTCAGGTCTTACCATTGGAGGTATTTGCAAACAGGAGAACTTTACAAAAAAGAAAAAAAGAGATAAGTACTTGGTGATCTATATTCTCCTGCACCTTCTTATGCTTCAGATTAACTCAAATCTTTTTGGGAACCTGGTATTTCACTGCAGAATACTGACTTCATAGAGTAATTAACCACTTTTTTGACGGTATCATATATTTTTGTCTGAATGCCCTCAAACCATTTGTGAATGATGAGTGACTGCACACATTATACTGACTGATGTCCTCACAGCATCCCACATTTGGCAATTTTAACAGATCTACTACATTACGTAGATAAAGTATAGCTCTGAAAGGGAAATTAAAGACTTCAAAATATAAATGCTTCAAACAGACTTCAAAGACCACTGCAAATTTGACTCGCTTTAATACCTAAAACATATTTGTTAAGTTTAAAAGGTAAATAAGAATCTACCAAAATCTCTAAGCAAGATATTCTGATTTGTTTCAGGATTTTACTGACAGCTGTGTTGAAGTAGTCCAAGATTTTCACCCTAAAGAACAAAAATCATATTACTGATCAGCCTTTCAGTTGCTGAGCTGGACTGCTTGAAGCCTCTCATTTAAATTCTCAGCTGAAAATCTGATTTTCAAGAAGCTGATGGATCACAGCCTATTCTTGAAAGGGAAACAATTCATTTTTGGAAAGCTCTGCCAAAAAACAAATCCCCAAACGTCAAGCATGCTGCCCTCCAATGGATTTCCATGTCTGGCTCAGCCTGCTCTTTCTAACCTGAAATACACGAAATACAAGCACAGTCTCCTGTAACTGCTGCTCGTTTATTGAACTGCTGTATGTACAGCCACAAGAGTATGAGCCCAAGTTCAGGGAAAGAACAGGAAAACACCACAGGACTTGAACTCTACATAACTTTTAGTGATGTTTGGGAGCTTTGTTATTCATGATAGTGATGCTGCAATTAGATTTGAAAACAAATGATTCATTAATTAGTGAAGAAAAAATAACAGCTCTGCTAAATGCATTTTTTTTTTTTTTTGGTTTTTTCTGTTTGAGTATCAACATTACAGGTACAGCAGCAGCAACAATACAGTTGGATAAAACGGTTTACAGGACAAACCTATGCAGTATTAAAATAGGTCTTAAAACATTTTATTTCCTGAAATCTGATCTGGGAAAAGCTGGCCAACACCATCTCAGCAGTGAGAAAACATCAGCACAAACTGTCCCACTCGGGACTCGGAGAAGGGAAACAGGTGATCGGATGGATACCGCCGCTCTCTCCGTGGGACATTTTGGATCTTCAGCAGAATAAACACCTCCTTAACTTAGCAGAAAAAGACAAAACGTGTCCCAGGAACATAATTTCATTTAGAAATGGAAGCTCAGTTTTAAGCAGTGTCGACAATAAAAACCAACTCGCTCGGACGCTGGGGTATTCTCTGTTAAGTAACTGGAAAAAAAAAAAAAAAAAAAAAAAAAAAAAAAAGTGCTGCCTTTCGACAGGATAAGCTAAACGTCCGATAAAAGCTCCAGATCTGAGCCCCGAGGGCAGAGGCTCACTACTTGAGCTCCGTGGGGCTCAGAATCAGCAGGGGGTGAGGGG